AATCTCAGCCAAATTTGTGACTTTGGAACCAGAATTGCATAACAAGATTATAAAGGGGGCAGGCTATGATCGTAAGAGAACAGAAAAGATGTTAGAAAAGATTGTGGGTTTTTTTTAAGGTGTAAAACATCAATATCAGAGGTCAATATCTCCTGGTATATTTTATATACTCATAGCAGTTTATTGTGAAAAAAATCAATTGGAGTTTAAAATGCTATCCAGGTATTTTTGAACTCTGGACACCTATGTGGTAGGTACACAAGGTACTCAGCATACTGCAGATGAGTAAAATGAGGCACAGACGTTGATGTTCTTGGCTAGAGTCAAACAGTATTAAGCAAAATCTACTTTAAAAAACACAAGAAGTATTTCACTCAGAAATTACTGTTGATGAAAAAATCAAGTACCTAATTATAATCAAGTAGTAACAAGTTAAGCTGTCACGTGAGAGTAAAAGTGAGATATACACCGAAACTTGCGGGCTTGTTTTGTGGATCCAATATAAATGGGCTTGCAGTACTTCCCAAAACGTACCTGAGTAAAGCAATGAAAGTAAGCCATTAACTCAAGTGAGGAAATACATCTTATAGTAATTGTTTGCCCAGTGCAGTGATGCTATGAAATCAGAATACATCCTTAAAACTACCATGTGGCAGTGCTTTGCCATCAACTTAAGACTTCTTACTGAAATCTAGCAGATCTTTAAAACTATTATACAATGTCTACTTCAAACATCAACATTCATTATGGACCCAATCCCATAAGCTGCTGAGTGCCCTCAGTTGCCATTTGACATTCACCGATTACAATGTCACACCTGATTGATAAAAGCCTCAGGACAAGTCATAAATTTATTTAGGATGAGTAAGAGCAAAAGGAGAAGAGCAAAACATAATTGGAAATTGGTGTAGTTTCGGACACATTGGGCACTAGCACTTTCTTTCATTTCACTGCACTAATGGAAAGTGGCCTAAAAAATAAAGAGGAAGGGAACATGACACTTTCAACTGAAAGTTCCATACTATGTAGTCATTGATTTCCTTCTCAGAGCACTACACTGACAACAAAATCTCAGAGCACTACACTGACAACAAAATCTCTTCAAGTTAATAAACATTAAGGAAGAGGAAGAATTTCCTTCCCACCCCCTCCTTTTGACAGTTATATAATATCTAGGCACAAAGGGAATCTTGGACACTGAAATTATTTCACAGAATCACAGAATCGTTTAGGTTGGAAGGGACCTCTGGAGATCATCTAGTCCAACCTCCCTGCTCAAGCAGGGTCACCTAGAGCAGATTGCCCAGGATCACATCCAGACGGGTTTTGAATATCTCCAGTGAAGGAGACTCCACTACCTCTCTGGGCAACCTGTTCCAATGCTCCGTCACCCTCACAGTAAAGAAGTTTTTCCTCAGCTTCAGATGGAACTTCCTGTGGTTCAGTTTGTGCCCGTTGCCTCTTGTCCTGTTGCTGGGCACCACGGAGAAGAGGCTGGCCTCATCC